AGTGATAATGGACGTCATACTAAACTCCAAATTATACACAAGAAACTAAAATTAAAAATGATACAAGACTAGCAAAGGCCAGAGGCTCCTGACTTGGGACAGGCGCAAAAATGCGGCGGGGTTAAACATGTTTTTTGAGATCTCAACCCTCCCCCTATACCTGTAGCCAATGTAGAAAAACAAACGTACAACAGTACGCACAGTAAAACTCAGTTTAAGAGAAGTCCGAGTCCGATGTCAGAATAGGAAACAAAAGAAAATAAACAAAATGACAATAATACATAAATAACAACAGACTACTAGCAGTTACTGACATGCCAGCTCCAGACCTCAATTAAACTGATTGAAAGATTATGTCTTCATCATATGAATATCAGGCACAATCCCTCCTGTTAGGGGTTTAGTATTATACCGTAATAAAATATATGAGAAGAACATAACCCGTGTCATGCCAACAACTGGTTTTAGAATAAATATGTTTAATTCCGATGCAAAGACCCTATAAGTGAATCAATATTAAAGCCAAAATATGCAATCTTTAATGACCTGACAAAAGTATCTTAACTATATCCCTTCTTAATAAGTCTGTTTAAAGGTTTTGTTAGCTTTTGAGGTGAATACTGACATTTAGCATGTATCTTATTATTGAGGTGAATACTGACATCAAGCATGTATTTTATTATTAAAGAATATAATGCCTAAATTGGCCGTCCTTTAACAAACACGTTAAAAAATTATGCGAAAATGTCTGTTATTTTTTCTTCTTTTTTTCACAGATAAACAAAGATTATATATAATCTATAAATAAATCATACGTATCTCTTTTAAAGTTAAAAAAAAATATTTCAAGTCTAACGTTCCGTCACCCCTTAGGAAACCCCGTTTGAAGTAAATTCCGAAAAGAAAGACATTTTTTGACATTGTAGTTTTTTTATAGTCTATTATATATTAACATGCATCTGAACAGAAAGTACACACATTTAGTGTGTTTGTTTGAAAAGGCAATGGCGAGTTCAGCTGTTAATTTGACTGGATTAATTATGTTTGATGTTAACTAAAACAATAAGGTTAGGAAATTTTATACTGTCTGTAACACGTTCTCATCTAAAATTAGAAATTCTCATTAACGGTCATTTGCCATAATTCGTACTCAAATAGGTCGAATTATCGCTCATAAGACAAACTTGTGCAAAAACGAGAAAAATAAAAGAAAAACACGTTTTTCTTTTTATCAAGCACTTGAAAATCGTGAATCTGACATATTGAACACCTGGTGTATGCTGAACTGAATTGTAATAAATTAACATGCATTTCTCAGGCCTGTATGCCAGCATACGAACCTGGTGTATGCTAAAGTCTACATTTGATTTATACATTGTATTTCTCAGGTCTGTATGCCTGCATACGAACCTGGTGTATGCTAAAGTATACATTTAATTTATGTATACATTGTATTTCTCAGGTCTGTATGCTAGCATACGAACCTTGGTGTTTCCAAAAAATCCTTTACTTCAGTAGTTGTGGTTAAACGCTGATTTCGATCTTTTTTTTAAACTAAAAGCCTACCACTGACCTCTATATTTTCTCCCGATAGGTAAACAGAAAAGCGTTAATTTGCAAGGCAAACCGGTAAAGCGTTTACTGTTGTAAATCTAAAAATGAAAACCGATTCTCAAGTTCCACGACTATGATCACTTTATTGACATGACAGTTATCTGTTTTTTGCAAATTAAAATTACGGAAAAATGAGGCGATCATAATTTGTACAAGGTTCCAAGTTGTTTACAAAATTTTAAATGACGTCAGGGACCTTCTGACGTAAGGCGGAGGGAATTATAGACGGATAGCACTTGACTTACGCGAGTTACTTTTTACCAGTACACTTAATTAAAATAATAGCAATTGATTACAAAACAAAATATTTTTTTTATACTTTGTATTGGTAAATGATAAAAAGTCAAAGAACAAATGGACTATTTATCTGCGTTGAATGACCTAATAACACCTTATGTCACGCACTCCTATATGACGTCATTTACAAATGTAAACAATGTGAATGATCAATGAAGGAGTTCCCGTCACGGAGAAGAAAATGGACAATTCATTGAAAAATACGCTCTATTATCTAAATTTTAATATACCAGAAGCAAAACAGAATGTCAGATACATTTACGGTAAGTAAACCTAGCTGTTTTTGTACATTTTCCACGAATTTCATAGAGCACCCTCTTTTTTTAGAAGTGACACACTGATTTAATCCGGTTTGAAAACTATAATACAAGATTATTGATTACGCTAAGTTTGTTTTCTCAAGAGGTTTGTTCACTTCAATCAATTTCATGCTAGACATCATGTGGCGAAATTTACTGCTGTTTTACTATCAAGCTACCCCCCCCCCCCCCCCAAAAAAATAGCCTTGCAAGACGTCATAAGTATTTGGACTACCACCCCCCCCCCCCCTTGAAAGTATTTAGAGAAAAAATGAATGGGAAATACGATTATGTGTACATCCATAGTGATGTCTCCTTGCATTAGTTACAATTTTAAGGATTTTAAGGGGTGCTTTGTGGGAAAAATTTAGTTGATTTATTGAGGGAAATAATACTGGAGCTGTCCATTTCTAAGGAAGTCAGTGCCCCCCCCCCTCCCCAGCCCCTCCCCCTTATGAAACTTCTGGATCTGCCACTGAGTTAAAGTCTCCCGGATTTAAAAAAAATTGAAATTCATCCCCTATCCAGATTTTCAAAATGCATGGCCAATGCCCTTCAGTTAACCCATTCAGGTCTTATTCTAACAACTTTTAGGGAAACAAAAGTCCAAGATAAAAAGCGGGGGGGGGGGGGGTGGGGTGAGCGCTCACATGTTAAAAGCGGCCACACTAGTCTTTATGTGCCTGTCCCAAGTCAGGAGCCTGTAGTTGAAGTTGTCATTGGTTCATGTATTTCGTATTTCTTTTTCGTAAATTGTTTTGCTATAAATTATTGTTTCTTATTTTTCATGTTGGGTCCTTTTATCATCTGACTATACAGTATTGGTTTTTCTCATTGTTGAAGTCCGTACAGTTGCCTATACTTGCTTACATCCACTTCATTTGGACTTTGGTGGATAGTTGTCTCATTTGCAATCATCCCACATCTCCTTATTTTTACAAGGAGGTTGTATGATGTGTCCTTGTTTTGGAAAACTGTACAGTACATTTGTCACATGATCACTGCAGCATTCTGTGATGTGTGTATGTAAGAAGCTGTTACTGTAACAGGGTAATATGAAAAGCTATCAACAAAATCGAAAGACAGACAGAAAATTTTAAAATTTAGTGAGCAATTAAAAACAAAAAAAGAAGTAATTCAAACAAATTAAACATACATTTATTGCGAAAGGATCAGAACAGCACATTTCAAGAGTGTTCAAATTGGAAAAATGAATGCTAATAAGGAAATGACATATTTCATTGATCTTCAATCAGATGCATGGCGACAAAAATACTTTCAAGGGAACGACTTCAATTCAACCACTAAGAACCCTTAGTTCATATAAATTCTAAAATCAGTAATTGTGATAATGTTAAAGTTGTGAAGTGTTTAATATTCACACATATATATATATGTATATAATATGTAGTTTCCATTTCTCGTTTCAGCATTTTTCAAACAGTGGCTATACCTTTCATGTAACTATTTATGTGTTGCTTATGAATTGAATTGTAACACTTCTTAGTGACTGGATAGGTTAAACCAATGCCTTCCTAGAAAACTACGACATCAATGAACAACACCTGACCTTTTGCTGTTCCTGCTAATAAAGTAAAAATGGCTTCACTAGAAAAGGACGACACCTAGAACATGTAGAAAAAGCATCAATTCTTTGGCTTCCTGATTGAAGGATTTATTTTTACAACTCCAGTGTATAATATGCCATTATAAACAATTTTACCATAGTATAATGCTATAAATTCACTAATTTTCATATCTATTAGCTAATCCAGTTAGATATCGACTTATGATATGCAGTGAAGACAGATCATTGCAAATTGTTTACATTACCGATAATTAAAATACATGTATGCATGTTTGGCATACATCTTGTAAAGCAAATTGTATACAGACATCCCCCTAAAAGCATTAAAAAAAACAACAAGAACTTTGGCATACACCATGTTGACAGGCAGAGATGCAAACACAATGACTTAAACACTTTGCTGTATCACTGTCTATTTAGTATGCATATTGCCAACTATATCAGATTTTAAGACAGTTTCATTTTCTCTCCATCAATTTCTAACCAAGAGTTCCAAATGGTGAAGTTGAAATCATCCCTTCGTAAATTATACGGACGCCATCACGAGTTGGTTGACCGTTATGGAATAACCGTTTCACAGATGATATCGGATATGTTTCTTACGTCGTAACTACAATCCCCTTCCTTTTTCATGAATGTGACTTGCCGAATTAGACTATTTACCGGGTTTGTAATAACATGAGCAACACGACGGGTGCCACATATGGAGCAGGATCTGCTTACCCTTCCGGAGCACCTCAGATCACCCCCAGTTTTTGGTGGGGTTCGTGTTGCTCAGACTTTAGTTTTCTATGTTGTTTCTTGTGTACTATTAATATTTGTCTGTTTGTCTTTTTCTTGCCATGGTGTTGTCAGTTTATTTTCGATTTATGAGTTTGACTGTTCCTCTGGTATCTTTCGCCCCTCTTGACACAATGCTTGAAGTTACTAACTTAGAGCATGATGAAAAATAATAGTTTTACAATTTAAAATATGAATACATGTACAACATACAGCTGGTTAGAATGCAAACCATTCAGCTTGCTAAATATCCAATAAGTGCCATAAAATATGCAGAAATTTTAGACTGGAGGCAAACCCTACACAAATACACTAGCTCAATGAACACCAGCTTGGTTTGACAATACTAAAATGTATGTAAAACTATAATTTAATAGAACATAGGTGGGTATACAGGCAATCAAATCTTGTATATATCCAAGTAAAAAAAAAATAAGTGTTCACCGTACACCAGTGTTGTATGCAAGAATACCGTGAACTGAAAATGTCAAACAAATATGCAAACTTTTATGTTCCAATGTGTATAGGACTATAGGTCGGTATGCCGACAATCAAACCTATGAATTCCATTTTATTACAAGAGTTTATTGAAAAGCGGGTTGATATACAGGAATAAACCCCTGAGTGTTGCAGTTAAGAATTGAGAGCTTTCTTTCAAATTCAAACGAAGTTGAAAGCTATACATAAGTAATTCCTTACATCGATGTAATTCGGCCTTTGACATGTTTGATGGAGATACATTTGTATGTCTCTTTCAAAATCATACACATCTCCTTATTTTCTATGGGGGTTGGTTATGCAAACATAAGTAAATAAGAAATGTTACTACACAGTAAATGCTTAGCATTCAGGCAGACAGACTTGCCAATACAAACATGAATCCAGAATAAAATTTTAGAATCCATGCAGGCATACAAGTACCTGGCAGAAAAATGCCAAAATAAATAATAATTTGAGTCTATATGCAGGCATACAGACCTGACAAATACTAATATACGCAGAAAGTGAGAGTTTAGCATACGCCAGGTCGGTATGCAGGCATACAGACTTGACAAATACTAGTATACGCATACAGTGAGAGTTTAGCACACACCAAGTCAGTATGCTGGCATACAGACCTGACAAATTCTAGTATACATTTGTACGCATAGAGTAAGAGTTAAGCATACACCAGGTCGGTATGCAGGCATACAGACCTGACAAATACTAGTATATGAATAGAGTGAGAGTTTAGCATACACCAGGTCGGTATGCTGGCATACCGACCTGACAAATTCAAGTATACACATAGAGTGAGGGTTTAGCATACACCAGGTCGGTATGCAGGCATACAGACCTGACAAATACTAGTATATGAATAGAGTGAGAGTTTAGCATACACCAGGTCGGTATGCTGGCATACTAACCTGACAAATTCTAGTATACACATAGAGTGAGGGTTTAGCATACACCAGGTCGGTATGCAGGCATACAGACCTGACAAATACAAGTAAGAGAAAACAGACTGAATTTAGCATACTTTTCATTGAAACATCTGAAATAAAGATGGGCAAATGCTATGTTATGTATATATTTCAAAAATGGCATAAAAGTATAACAAAAATGCAGAATGAGTAATTTTTTAAGGTTCATTTGCTTCAACTATTTCCTGGGTGTTGAAATAGTTCATTCTAGCATCCTATGAAAAAGGTTTATCATAAAATGATGAAGTTTTGGATTCGCATTTACAAAAAAAGACCACAAATCTTGCAAAAAAACGACAGACAAATATTAATAATGCTATACAGTGACTTTTTAACGCGAAATATATCAATCACCCCAAAAGATGTAGCTTTTTCACACAAAAATCAGTTAAGTGGCATATGAGAATTTCTAATTTTAGATGAGAACGTGTTCTGTGCACATCCTTGAATTTAAGATGACTAGAAAAAATCATTCATTGTTAATATTATTTTTTGTGATGAAGAAATCCTGCAAAAGTAAATGCAAATATTACATGTACAATGGTTACATAAAAGTCTTGTCCTTTGAAATTAAAACAATCTCTTTCAGACTTGCATTTTAATCACTCTTTTCATAATTACAGGAAGTGTGACTTACTTGCATTTGTGGTCTAGAAACATATTGACTTAGCACTCAGAAACTGCCCTGAAATACTTTTAATACGACCTAGGGTTTGAAGGCTTCGTATTCTAATTCAGTACGCTTAATCAAAACAAAAGAGGGACGAAAGATACCAGAGGGACAGTCAAACTCATAGATCGAAATCAAACTGACAACGCCATGGCCAAAAATGAAAAGACAAACAGACAAATAATAGTACAGATGACACAACATAGAAAACTAAAGACTAAGCAACACGAACCCCACCAAAAACTGGGGTTGAATTTGTATGTTAGAACTTCTAAAAAATATACTCAGTTGGCATTTGTAACGTACAGCATGATTTGATTTCATTTTATATGACTTTTTGGAGGAAACAGACTCGTTTCAGTTGAAGTAAAAAATGACAATAAAAATGCCCAAATATGGTAGTCACATGACTTCCATTGTTGTTTTAAGAAATGGGGTCAAACCGAGGTCAGCTTTCCGACTGTTGTTTGCAGAGATATTTCTCGAATCACACTGCACGGAGTGTGATACGAAAAAGTGATATGAAAACTACGTTGATTTTGATTGGCTTATCCAGCATCAGGAGACGATATTACGACATTTCCATTGGCTATTCGTTAGGTCATTGTAAACTTTCAAAGGTTAATGCGATATGCATTTCGTCCATGGCAACGGGCATATGTGATTTCTTCAATAATACACATAACACTCACATTTTTAACCTGGAAATCCTCTTTTTATCAAATTTTATTACATTCTGAAGCGTACAAAATATTAATGTGTGATGTAAAAGTTTGACACCGGACATACATGACGTCATACTGGTATATGCAAAAGACTAGATCAACGATTCGCGGATTTTTTTTATTTATGAAAACTATAATTATCAATAATTTAGGTTTTACTCATCAGTGATTGGTAATATTTCAAATCTCTTAACCTGAGCAAACCAATAAAATTTTATATAGCAGCCATGCTGGGTTTATGTGAACACTCAAGATTTTAATTGGTGCAAAATTCTGAATTATTAAAGCCATATCATGAAAGCATTGATGTATTAAATGACTTGCAGAAAGTTTTAACACCATTGAATCATCTTTTAACAACTTTTGATATATTATTTGCCTATAATTTAAAAAAAGAGGTCAAATAGCTACTACACTTGCATAAAGATCCTTTGTAAATAAAAAATTATGAAATATTACTGTTTATGAATTAATGTGAAAAGATAAGATACCAAATTAAGCATTTGATCATCAGAATTATGGAAGTAATGTATCCATAGCTTATGATTGTGTATGTAATTGAATAAAATTTGGTACAAGTTGCATGTGTATTAATATCAAAGTGTATTTCTACACTTTTTTTCAAATACTATTATTCCATGTCTTTCTTAAGGCATCTACCTCGCCAAATATGTAGCTGGTTTAGACACTAAGTCAACTTTAATTCTTACCATAATTGACCATAGTTAATACCTTATGACACAACTCAGTACATAAATTAATACACAATTCCTTACCTAAATAGTATGTTTGATAGTATACAGTTTTGTTTAGGAGTCAGCTGAAGCCCGCCTCCGGTTGTGGGATTTTCTCGTTGCATTGAAGATCCATTGGTGGCCATGGACTGTTTTCTGCTCTTTGGGTCAATTGATCTTCTATAAAAAAAAAAAAAGTTGCCCAGTGCATTTAAAACACTTTGAAGGGCTATATTAAACCAGCGACAGTAACAGATCCAAATTTTCATTTAGGGGGGGGCTGCTCCAGTCCCTGGCATAGGGACTTCCAGTGGCGGATCCAGAACTTTTCATAAGGGGGGCCCGATCCAGTCATGCTTCACTGATTCTCTATATAATCAAACAAATTTTTCCCACGAAAGGGGGGGCCGGGACCCCCAGCCCCCCCCCCCCCCCCCCCCCCCCACCTGGATCCGCCTATGACTTCAGTCTTGACTACAGGTCAAATATATGTAATATATTATAGCGCGTCAATCGTCTACATACATTTTGAAAAAAACGAAAAAACGTATGCCCCTACTGTAGACGATTTATTGGCTATATATCTGATCTGTAGTCCAGTCCCTATATATGCTCCAGTCATGCCTGGGTGATTCCCTATATATCCACCAAATTTTCCCTACAAGAGGGGGGTCCAATGCACCCTGCTCACCCCCTAAATCAGTGTTTGAGAGACACATATTCACTTGTATATATGTCTCAGAATAAACCAATGTAAAACCATACCTTAGCCTAACTCAGTTACTGATTAGACCAATAATTATGATGTCTTGGAATGACCAGTAAACAAAGTCATATCACTAGCCTAGGGTAGTGGTCAATTATCTTGAATGACCCGTTAACAAAGCCATATCACTAGCCTAGGGTAGTAGTCAATTATCAGGAGTGATTAGTTTACAAAGTCATATCACTAGCCTAGGGTAGTAGTCAATTATCAGGAGTGATTAGTTTACAAAGTCATATCACTAGCCTAGGGTAGTAGTCAATTATCTTGAATGACCAGTTAACAAAGCCATACCACTAGTATAGGGTAGTGGTCATTTATCAGATCAGTTAAGTTAACAAATCCATATCACTAGCCTAGAGTAGTGGTTAATTATCAGGAGTGATCAGTTAACAAAGTCACATCACTAGCCTAGGGTAGTGGTCAATTATTAGGAGTGATCAGTTAACAAAGTCATATCACTAGCCTAGGGTAGTGGTCAATTATCTTGAATGACCAGTTAACAAAGCCATATTACTAGCCTAGGGTAGTGGTCAATTATCAGGAGTGATCAGTTTACAAAGTCATATCACTAGCCTAGGGAAGTGGTCAATTATTAGGAGTGATCAGTTAACAAAGTCATATCACTAGCCTAGGGTAGTGGTCAATTATCTTGAATGACCAGTTAACAAAGCCATATCACTAGCCTAGGGTAGTGGTCAATTATCCGGAGTGATCAGTTTACAAAGTCATATCACTAGCCTAGGGTAGTGGTCAATTATCTGGAATGACCAGTTAAAAAAGTCATATCACTAGCCTAGGGTAGTAATCAATTATCTGGAATGACCAGTTAACAAAGTCATATCACTAGCCTAGAGTAGTGGTCAATTATCTGGAATGACCAGTTAACAAAGTCATATCAGTAGCCTAGGGTAGTAGTCAACTATCAGGAGTGATCAGTTTACAAAGTCATATCACTAGCCTAGGGTAGTGGTCAATTATCAGGAATGATCAGTTAACAAAGTCATATCACTAGCCTACGATAGTGGTCACTTATCAGCTAGCATACGGTAGTTGTCAGTAATGTCTCATGTCACTAGCTTAGGGTCGTTGTCATTAATGTGTCATATCACTAGCCTAGAGTAGTTGTATGTAATGTGTCATATCACTAGCCTACGGTAGTTGTTAGTAACATGTCATATCACTAGCCTAGGGTAGTAGTCAATTATCAGGAATGATCAGTTAAGTTAACAAAGCCATATCACTAGCCTAGGGTAGTGGTCAATTATCAGGAATGATCATTTAACAAAGTCATATCACTAGCCTACGATAGTGGTCACTTATCAGCTAGCATACGGTAGTTGTCAGTAATGTGTCATATCACAAGCCTAGGGTAGTTGTCAGCTATGTGTCATATCACTGGCATAGGGACGTTGTCAGTTATGTGTCATATCACTAGCCATAGGAAGTTGTCAGTTATGTGTTATATCACTAGCCCAGGATAGTTGTCAGTTATGTGGCATATCACTAGCTTAAGGAAATTGTAAGTTATTTGTCATATCACTAGCCCAGGTTAGTTATCAGTAATGTCTCATGTCACTAGATTAGGGTAGTTGTCATTAATGTGTCATATCACTAGCCTAGAGTAGTTGTATGTAATGTGTCATATCACTAGCCTACGGTAGTTGTCAGTAACATGTCATATCACTAGCCTAAGGTAGTAGTCAATTATCAGGAATGATCAGTTAAGTTAACAAAGCCATATCACTAGCCTAGGGTAGTGGTCATTTATCTGGAATGACCAGTTAACAAAGCCATATCACTAGTATAGGGTAGTTGTCAGTTATGTGTCATATCACTAGCCTTGAATAGTTGTCAGTTATGTGTTATATCACTAGCATATGGTAGTTGTCAGTTATGTGTCATATCAATATAAACCTACGAAAGTTGTCAGCTATGTGTCATAAAACAGCAAAGTTATATCACTAGCCTAGGGTAGTTGTCAGTTATGTGTTATATCACTAGCTCAGGGTAGTTTTTAGTTATGAGTCATTATAAAACAACAGATATATCACTAGCCTAAGGTAGTTGTCAGTAATGTGTCATATCACTAGCCTAGGGGAGTTGTCAGTAATTTGTCATATCACTACTATAGACTACCCTATACTAGTAATATGGCTTTGTTAACTGGTCATTCTAGATAAATGACCACTACCCTAGGCTAGTGATATGGCTTTGTTAACTTAACTGATCATTCCTGATAATTGACTACTACCCTAGGCTAGTGATATGACATGTTCCTGACAACTACCGTAGGCTAGTGATATGACACATTACATACAACTACTCTAGGCTAGTGATATGACACATTAATGACATCTACCCTAAACTAGTGATATAAGACATTACTGATAACTACCCTGGGCTAGTGAGATGACAAATAACTTACAATTTCCTTAAGCTAGTGATATGCCACATAACTGACAACTACCCTGGGCTAGTGATATAACACATAACTGACAACTTCCTATGGCTAGTGATATGACACATAACTGA